GGCGGACGCGCCAATTGAGTGAGGAAAAGAGCCTTTTTCTCCACTCATGGTCAGGCTGTGGGCGCTTTTTCTGGGTAAGAGCAGTCCACTTCAGGGAAAGGGAGAGGCCCCTCCAATCTGTGGTGTAGGAACGAGATCTCTTCTGGGTGTGGGATAATTGTGCTGTCTGTTTTGGTTGTTTGGCCACTGTCTTTTACTTGTTTGTTCTGTGTTTCCTTGAAGGAGGTTGAAATGGGACAGAAACAGACTACCCCTCTGCCCCTGATGGTTGAACATTTTTCAGAGCTTAAAACCAGAGGATCTAATTTGTCTGTGATAATTAAGAAAAATAAACTAATAACTTTTTGCTCTTCAGAATGGCCCTCTTTTTAAGTGGGATGGCCGCTGGAAGGCTCACTGGATAGAAAGGTGATCGCAGCCATTTTTGACTGAGTCCAAGTGCCAGCCCCCCGTGGGCGCCCGGACCAATTTCCTTACATTTTAGTGTGGCAAGATATAGTGACTAACCCGCCCCCATGGCTAAAACATTTCTTCCCAACCCCTCTGTTAAGGTATTAACATCCTCACTCGAGACCAGCGAAAAGGAGAAGCCGAGACGACCTGCCTCTTGAGCCGCTGTTCCACCAGTTTTGCCTGATTCTCAGGTTGACCTCGATCTGATGGATCTAGAAAGCAGCATGTCTCCATCTCCCCTCTGCCACCTCCCCACCCTCTCCAGGTTCCACAAGTGTTGGGAGGGAATGGAGCGAATGCTCCAAGCACGCCGCCCATCATCACGGGCCCAACCTCTGGTCTCTGCCCGTGCCAGAGGGGATCTCAGGAGGCTGAAGCTCCATCATCTGCTGTCCAGGCGCTGCCTCTCAGAGCAGTTGGCCTGCCCCGTGAGGACAGAAGCAGAACCTGGCAGTACTGGCCGTTTTCAACATCAGACCTGTATAACTGGAAAGCGCAAAACGCCCCCTTTTCTGAAAATCCCCAAAGCCTAATTAATTTGTTAGAATCCATATTGTTTACTCATAACCCCACTTGGGATGATTGTCAGCAGCTATTGCAGGTTCTGTTCACCACTGAAGAAAAAGAAAGGATCTTGACTGAGGCCAGGAAATGTGTGCCCGGAGATA